ATGGACCAGATCGCCAACACGTACAACTTCAACGACAACGCCCTGATGAAACTTAACGAGACAATCAAGAACGCTCTCGATCCCAACGGTATCATGGCCCCCGGCAAGAACGGTGTGTGGCCGGCTACCTATGACAAGGAGAAGTGGGTGTTGGGCGGAGAGGAGGAGTGGACTTCTCCGGGGACACAGACAGCGGTCGAGACAAAGGTGTAATAATTTGTAGAAGTCAAATGCTCAGCTCTTGAAAAAGAGAAGGAAAAAGAAAAGGACGAGAGAAAGATTAGCAAAAAAAAGTAGCAGACATACAACACCAGGGATTCGCTGGTCGTCACCGACCCAACTACTAGTCTGGCCCTCACTGGCTTATCTATGGGAGAGCGGACGGGATCCCGAGTTTTCCAGTGGGTATGGTCGTATGTGCTCATCATACACAAAACCAATACTTATCAATGGTTCTTTTTGTGTGCAGGAACAAATAAAAATGTGGTCATGTATGGGGTTCATGCATTACATGCTAAAGCTATGAGGTCTGTCTAGAGACGACAAGTCCATATCCACACCGCCGTTCTCGCAGCTTTGAATCTCAGTGTCGACGAAAAGGCCGTATCGAGGTACTTGACTTTGACTATGACCTCATCACCACTTTAATACAAGAAAACATCAATGTCCTCCCTATTCGGCTTTCGGCTCAGCCTGAGCATCACAAACACTCAACGCCTCCTCCCATCTTAGTTCACGAGAGAGTTTTTGACAGGGAAGCAATCAGGTTCAGCACCTGGTTTGTCCGCCATGCCCGATCCATTAATACCGTTGACTGAGTGTACAACCGCCATTCCAGGGCCATATCGACGCCGTGTAACCACTTACCATAGCAACCCCCACACATTCCAAACTGCCGGGTTCCTCCGTCGATTAGTACGGGTAAATACCTAGGTAGGTAGATACCCTTTCACATCGTCTCCCAGCTGTTCAAGCTGGCTGATGGATGATTGATGTGCCGCTGTGCCTTTTCTATGCACGCAATACCGACTGGATGCACGTCAGACGGGCCAGCGGGAGCTTACATATTCACACACACTGGCACTGCGCCAGCAATGCATCTGCTCGGCGTACCAAACCACCGGTAACTTGATGGACAAGCTCCTTCGGGATAGGTACCTAGGTAAACCAAAACATGATCATACCTAGAGAGTCGGGTCGGCTGTAGTTGTGATAAAGTTTAGTTGGCACTAGTCAAGCTGAGCTACGGATTTTTCTGTACATAGTGACTTGGTATCTGGAGGGTAAACTGGCATTATGCCTGGCGGCCATGTGTATGTGTGACGCACCGATTGTCTGGAGTCCGAAAGTTGTGACCAGGGAGGTCCCCGGTAGGACTTGATGGGAGATACATTGACTCGGCCGTACCGGACGGGTATTATCTCGGGAAATCCGGATTCTACCTACCTTGGGCCTGACTTACTATGCAGCAGTGAAGGTCTGTGACTGGGATTTCGATCATTTGAGCTGGATCCCGATTTCTGTGTGATATCATACGGTAAGAAAGCAGTTCTGTGAAATGGAAGAAGCGATCATTTGCAGTTTTCCAAGTTGCGCGTGGGCGCAGAAACTTTTGTCTATGGGTAAAGTGATATAAGAAATATGTACGTGAAGTGGTGTAAAGTTTACAGAACTTGGTCGCCCCAGAAAGCACCTTGTGATATGTTTCGAAGAGTAAGTTTTGTAAAATTCAGCTTGGTCCGCGAAAGTCCAAAGCCAATGGTTGATATAGTAGTACAGGTACTTCGTCTGAGGGCCAGAAGCCAGAGCAAAGAAGTTGTGCGAATAATGTGCGATGTGCGTATGTGTTTGATATCTCCCCCCCTCTCTTTCTCATTAACAAGTCAATGAGGTTTACCCAGATATAAGAATAAAATAATCCAACAAAAGAAGCGAAAAAGAGAGAGCAGTTTTTGTGTGTCTGTGTGGGCTGCGAATGCGTGGGTGTGGTCTCTGATCAGTTTTCCCTCCACAACATCTCATTCCTTCTAATGGGAGGCCAAAACTTCAAATATGCCACTCATATTGACTGCTGCTGCTGGCTCCGCTCTTGTCCTCCCACCAAAAGAACCAAATGCCGAAACGGGCGCCCGGGTAGGCGAGGGCTCAAACATGTCGAAAAATGGTTCTGGTTCCATCGCTCTAGTTCGGTTTGCTGCCGACATGAAAGAAGAAGAAGACGAGAAAGGAGAGAAGCGCGAGGCTGGGTCGGGGGTCGTGGGCGACGGGGCGCTCGAAGTGGTTGCCGAAGTCAGGTTCGACGAGCTCGGAGTTTCGTATAGAAAGGCCATCAACAACTCGTGAAGCTCGGCCGTGGCTGTTGGGGAGAGGAGTGTCGGCCGGCTGATGCGCTTGTAGGAGCGGGCGCGGAAAGACGGCATGGGGGGGACATCAGTTGGCGTCACGGGACGGTCGGAGTACTCGGAAGCGGACGACGAAAACGACAGGCTCCTGGAGGGGTCATTGGGAGTGGTGATGTATGGCGTCGTTGGCTTGGCCTGTGGCCGTTGGGTGGTGAGGTGTTGAGGAGCGATCTTGGCCGCAACCCTCCTGCTGTGCCTCCGCTCAAGCTCTGTCTGGAGGTTCCTCACCGGGGAGGAGGACCTGATGGTGGAACTACGCCTCGTCTTCCGCTTGGGATCGGTTTCGAAGAGGTCAATGGCCTTGGAAACGGGGACGTTGCTCGGGGTGGTGTGGTTGAAGTCGTCCAAGAGCAGAGAGATCTGTGTATCTTCGAGATCGGCCAACAGGTCGAAGACTCGGTCTATCGAGGAATGCGACTGGCGGCGGGCGTGGGTCGGCATCTTGGGCGATGATTATGAATGTGGCTGATTCTAATTGAGGGCCAAATGCAGTTTTCTTGAGGAAGTATCGAGGATTTGAAGTGGTTTGGTTTTGTTGTGATGATTGTTGACAGGAACGAACGACAAGGGAATAAAACGGCGACGATAATTGACGACGACGACGGACCAAGAATGACGAAATGTGAGAGAGACAAGGAGAGACAGAGCTGCGATAGCCAAAGTAAGTGTTGGGTTATTTCTTTGTAGTGTTGTTCTTTTTGTTGCGTTTGTTTGGTTGGTCCTGGTGATATTAAGGAAGGTCGGTAGCGGACTGCAAGCTACAATGTGGTGTGCTCATGACGGCATGGCTGGTTGGGATGTGTTGTTTGTCGTTTGTCGTCCAAGATGGCCGGTGTCTGTGAAGCATTAAGGTAAACAGATGCGGTGATGCGACATTCAGTGCTGCATTGATGCCGAGTAACAATGGTTGCAGCAGCTCGAGACTCGGACCACTGGGTGAGAAGGAGAGAAAGGTGAAAGTGAGGAAAGTGGAAAAGTGGAAAGGATGGACGGGAAGGTGAGGCAGGCCCAAGAAACTGGAAGTCTGGGAATTGGAAGGGGGGAGGAAGGGCTGGATGGAGAGGGGGGATTCGTCGGGGGATTTTTTGCCGGGTCTTGCAAAAAAAAGGCAAAGGTGCAATTACATTAATTCAACGTCGTATGGGTCTCTTGCCATGGCGATAATTTCCATGGGGAGAGTAGTTGGAGCAGCTAGAACAGCCCAATTCGGGACGGGTCACCGCGTGGAGTGGACGGGACGCACCCCCAATGCACCCCAGGCTCGGCCAGCACTTGGCAGGGGCCGCCCTGAAATGGCTCCACTGCGCAATCAGCGGATATCTCTCAGGTTCTCACCACTGTTCGTCACATTGCTGTTCGTGTGGGAGAAATGGTGAAAGTTGAACGGCCCCGACGGCCAAAGGTCAAACGAAAACAAGCCGCAATGCAACATCACGCGAACCAGGGGAAATGGACGCCCAAATGCACTGATCATCTCCCGGGGCTGTTTTGCATCGGCAGGGGCATCCCCTTGCAAGCCAAGCCACTTGTACCTGCTCTTGCCTCTTTTTGTACTTTCCAATCGCGCTAACGTTACAGGCATCTGATTGGCTACACTCATTGCTGCCTTCTCGATGGAGGAATAGGTAACTAGAAATGCCCGTGCGCGCAGTGCTCACGGCAGGCAAGTATGTAGGCAACGTCACTTGACTGAACACCACAGCCTCCGATATGACTTCAAATGTTCAACGTTCTTCATCCTCATCCCGGATTCACTCCACTGTAGACGCGGAATCCTGACCTCGGAACGGTGATTCAGACCGGGACAGAATAAGTTTCAAGCCCTGGCTCGAGCAAAATATCCTGCTTAACTGAGTGGGCGGCTTTCGAGGTTATTATCCTCGACTTTCTCGTCTGTGGATGTCAGATCCACGACACAACAATGGATAACGTCCATGGATTGCCTCTAAGGATGCTGAGTTCCTGGTGGATTTCTTGCCTACATAACTCAGTGGGCCCTACATGTCATGGACACGTTTGCATTGACGTCTATCAATAGATTCTGCTCGATGTTCAATGTTCACATTTCCGAGTTGGGATGGAAGGCAGGTTATTGTGGAAAGAGCAATCCGAATCCGGTCGGTCAACCAATGCCTGAAGTGAATGAAAATTACAGTTTACTCAGAAAAGCTGCCCTCCCCTCTTCATGAAGTCAAATGCGAAAATTTTCCGAGATCTTGATTCGGACCATCCCCTTCACACCTTCCCCAGTGCCGGATCGTCCACCCATCGACATCCAACCGCGACGCACTCGTCCTCGGAATACTGGCAAGAAGCCTGGAGCAAGCACAGGATACTGCTAAAATTACCGACCGAGACGCTCACGCAGATCATTGGCCATTTCGCTCTCACCTTGCCTGCAAAGGACGATGTCTTCCCAGACTTTTGCATCGGACGCAAGCATGCGTATGAAGCCGACGATCTAGCTTCTCGACTCCTCCAAGATCGACGGACTTTACGAATACTATGCCTTGTCCACTCGCGCTGTCACGCTGTGGCCTCTCTACTCCTCTACCAAACCGTTATTTTGGAAGACGCGGCAACACTACCCTTCTTCTTGCGGACGCTCTTAGAGTGTCCCAAAGCAGGCGAGGTGGTCCGAGTTCTGGCAGTAGTGGCAGCCTTCAACGCCTCCAAAGACGAAATCGACCTATACAAATGCACTCACATGGGGCTCTGGGCGGAGATTGGGCGATACGTTTTGAAGAAGCGCCGCGCAACATCCAGCGAGGCGAATTTGACTGGCGCATCCTGTTCTATAACGACGATTGTCAGTCCGACAATGACGCCACCGATCTTCGAGTCAAAAGGAGGAGAACGCGTACCATGGAGCTAGTCAACACTTTAAAGCGGGATTTGTTCCTCTGGGCTGGGTTTACAACAGCTTGCCATCGCCCCGGTCCCGTTCGCGCACCCATGAATAAGCTTATGGAAGACCTCCTCTACTGCATCCTTCGGGAAACACCTCGGGTACAACGACTACTGTTGTAGCTCTCGCGTGGTTGGGGACCTCCAACGTGCAGCTTTGCAAGTTTCGCGAAGCTATATCATGACAACGCATTTTCTACGCCAGACTTCTGCTCGCTCGTCTTTGACCGAGCTCATCCTGTCGCCAACTTCGAATTACTCAGCACACCACGACCCGCTTGATGATGAAGGAGACTATCTGTTTCGGTGTTTCCACTCCCTTGACACGCTCACAGTCATTGGACTGACTGATCCTATATTACCCTTCCGCTATTACGCGTTCAAAAGTATCCGTTATCTGCACCTTTCCGATACGAACATGCAGCTTCGAAAAATTTGCGCTATGCTCCTCGACTTTCCTCCAGATCTCGTCTCTCTCGTAGTTAAGCAACGTCCATTGGGACCTTACAGACTGCGTGTTGAAGACGAACTCCCCACTCCAACAGTACCAACGCTCTCCGAAGCATTGCTCCTGAGGGGCAGCCAACTTCAACAGCTTACGCTCGTTTTCTGCTACTCGACCTGCCTCAAGAACTTCATCGGACAAGGGCGGCGTCTTACTAGTTTGCCAACTTTGGTGCACTTAGAGAAGTTGACCATTTAGAAACATCTTCTATTCGGGAACCCCTACAACTTTTTGCGCGAGTTCAATCTAGCCAGCCTACTTCCGCCAAATCTCCTTGAACTGAGCATCCTCGACGAATGGAAGATGGACATCCTCGAATGCGACTTGTGGATAAGTCGATATTAAGATAACAACCCAGAGCATTCCTATATGGATGATCATCTCGGTCGAGCCTTGCTGCGATCCGACATGTCCCATCTTGTCCATATCTTACCCGACGATAACCCCACCGTCATCAAAGCTTCAAAGTTGCCAGAGTTGTTCTCATCCTATCGCAACGCGGTCAAGGCGATGCTGCTCAATCTAGCTGCTGAATGTCACAGTGCTCAAATCGGATGCCACAAGCAAGTTGGGGATGAGCAGCAGAGCCAACGAAAACTTGCCAGTCTTCGTTCCGTCACATACCAAGTCGCACCAAACAAGCCACTTAGACTGTTACCCAAGCGCGAGCATTGCGGGGAGGTAGAGTGATGGTCACATCGTCTAGAAGATCCACATGCCAAAGACTCGATGGAAAAGACCAAATGTGTGATCGAAACCGGCTCATTTCTATGCTGGATTCCTTACCGTTGGACCGACATTCTCGTGCTCGATAAGGTATTCTCGGATAGCTATGACAATATAGGGCGGAATCAAGCGAGCGTACGGTACATCCGCGACAATGGCTCCGATGGCTCCGATGATGACGACGACGGGGACAACGAGAGCGACGATGACAGCGGCACCAGCGAGCACAGAGACAGATTTCTAGCCAAGCTCAGTGCTGAGTGGAAGGCACAGTGTCATCCCGAGATGGTTGTCGAGCCCGAGCCAAAGCTTCTCGCTCTGTGGAACGCATTCAGAAACATTCCAAGGGAACACTTCTCGGATGTCATGCAGCGTTCGCAGAGTCCGGGATTCAGTTCGATTGCTTTGGGGACTCGAGGCCGTGGATCCTCGCTATCAGAGACGCCGCGAAGGTTGAGCTTAAGGAAACGGGACTTTGCGAGGGGGTTTTGGAGGATGATCTTTGATCCCACTGTGTATTATGGGCTGGAGCTGACAGAAGCGCCAGAAAGGAGCGGAGGTATGTTAACTCATGTATGATGTTTTTATTGTCAAGCCTGCCACCACATTCAGATCTTTTGCTCATGGCTGGTATGGACATTGATGGAAGTTCAAATAATCAGGGACACGCATTCTCTTTAGAAACCTTCAGGTTATGAAGGCGATACTGACCAGATAGGGAAGTGTGACATCTCAAAGATGGAAGAGATGATGGCTACCCACTTCTAGGTAGCACATGAATAATAATAGACGATAAGACTCAGCGCCATCCCCAACTATTCATCACTCGAAATTCTCCCAAGATAATAAAAACAAAAAATTTAATTTTTTCAGCTAAAAGAAAAAAGCCCAGTTACAAGGCAAAGTGAAAGGTTATTAGGACCCCATTATCTTCTCAATCTTGTAGCAGACACACCAAATCCGCCGATCATATTGCACATGCGTTACTTGTAAGCACATCCGTAACTTGCAAGCTACTTCACACACCAACTCGTGTACAAGTCATCACGTTTCCGTCATCACGATCACGAGGGAGTCTCTCCAAGTAGATATTTTGAACAGTCTCGGTACATTGCATTGTAACTTTGTAAGAATGAATGACAACCCTCCAGTATTGGCCATTCACATACAGTCTTAGACTATCGTTGTAGCTATGATGAGACGCTACTTTTCCTAACGATCACAGGAAGGAAATCTTCTGTTAAGGTGCCATCATTATCATCGCTATTCCAAGACCTCGAGAAGCAGTAGCTCACACATGCTGAATTTGGCAATGGCGAGTCAATCATCTGAGCACGAGTCAACTATAGGTAAATCTGGGTGTTAATGGGACTATCTGAGCTAGTTTGACTTCCAGCCATAGTCAAAATCACAGATATGACCAATACCAGATATTCTTTTCCTTCCCATTTTCGCCCAAGATTCCTACCCTACTTATGGTCAAGCAAGCGCAGTAGCCTATAGGCTCCCTAGTGGCCCCTTTTCCTTTTCCTTATTCCCATCACTGACCGTCTCGTTGACATGAGGGCTTAATCCATTCCATTTGAACGCCATCTATGTCCGGATTTCCATGTGCCGCTTTTCAGATGAAGTGTGATTCATCCACGAGAATGCTTACGACGTTCATCAAGCTGGCGAGTTGTCGCTGTGCCATGTTATAGCAACAACTCAAAGGGTAGGGGTAGGGGGACCATCCTTGCCACCATCCGCTGCCTTCTCGGCCATCTTGGCGACAAGAATGTGGCGGTCAAGTAACTCAATCACCACGGGAGAGCGAGCCTTGATGGAGACTTCGAAGGGAAGAACAATCCTGCGAGAGAGTGACGTTAGCAACTAATGTCTTCAAACAAGTTATGTTTTGGGCGCTTAGAGATAAAAAAAGGAGAAAACTTACGACTGTCCCTTATGCGAAAACTCGGGCTCAAAATCCTTCGGATTACCATCCGGACCAACGGGCAGATCAACCTCGATCGTTGCCAACATCATCGCCATGGCAATCAACAAACTGCTCTCCGCCAGATGCTGGCCCAAGCAAACGCGCCGTCCAAAACCAAAGTTGCCAACAGGGAAAGGCTCGCCCCAACCGCCCTCCTCCTTGGGCAGGTAGCGCTCGGGAAAGAAGCGCTCGGGCTCGCGATAACGCTTCTCGTCTCTGCTCATGGCCCAAACGTTGGGATAGACAATGGTTCCGCAAGGGATGCGCATTCCGTTGTAGGTGTCGTCACCGTCGGGGTCGATGTCGTTGTCATCCTTAACACTGGCATGCGGAATGCCGAGTGGGGAAAGGGGGTTGATGCGGTAGACCTCCTGGAGGACGAGGTTGACGTATTTGAACTTGGGGATATCGTCAAAGGTGGGCAGGCGGATGGTACCGGCGCGGTTGGTGGAGGATGTAGCCCAGGGTGCGGGAGTGGTGGGGCGGTAATCCTTCACGGGCTCGGGGGGAGTGCCGGTCGTGAGTAGAACGTAGTCGACCTCCGACTGAGCGCGGCGTTGCACGCGAGGGTGCTTCACCAAGTAGAGAATGACGAGGTTGACAGTCGAGGCAGTGGTATCGTTGCCGGCGATGAGCATGGTCGCGGCTCCTCCCTTGATATCCTCCTCATGGAAGTCGTTCCTGCGGGCGTTACGAATGTCCTGCTCCCGTTGCTCGGTCCTCTTGTGCACAAAGCATGACTGGATCTCGCGAACGGGGTCGCAGTAGCGTTCCCACTGTATTTCCAGTTAGCAACCGAATTTTACTTATCAAAAGGTTAACTTACGTAGTCCCACATCGATTTCGTGAAAGGGCGTTCGGTAATCCTCTGGATGGCCTGCTTGCTCTGGCGAGCATACTTGAGACGCTCCATGAAGGGCAACCAGTCGGGAAGATGGCGGGCTAGATGATTCAAGGTTAGCATTTTGTTCTTTCGGACAATTTCGTGACTTGGGAAGAACTTACTCCACGGAATGCGATCCATGATCGAGCTGCCTGGAGCTCCTGCCTTGCCAACAGCCTCTGAAGCCTCAGCAGCTAACTTGACCCACTCATCTGTGGGAGTGTCGACATTGATGCCATAGGTGATCTTCATCATGATGGACACGGCGAAATGAGTGACTGCGGACATCCACTCTTCGGGCTTCTCGATCAGATTCTTGCACATGATCATTGCTTGCTTCTTCTGCAGGGCTTGGAAAAGACGAGCAACGCTGGCCTTGGTGAGAGGAGGCGCTAGAACTTTGCGATGGAGAGCCCATGTAGACGACCGACGGAGCCAGGTAAGGGTGGGCGCCCATCCCATTCTATAGATATAGTTGTTAGCAATGCTCCATATGGGACAAGGTCGCGAGGAAGAGAACTTACTCCTCAAACATCACGAAGCGAGGACGGTCGGAATACTTCCTTCCACGAACGTCGAGCAGTTCATGGGCTGCTTCGTAGGAGTTGAGTACAATCCACTTGGTGCCAAGAGTCTCGAAATACAACACATCGGAGTCTGTTTTACGTCAAGAATGTCAGTCTATTGATCAGTAGAAGGTATATCGGTGAGTCCAACTTACTGTACTCCTTTGACCACTTTGCATACTTGCGGAAGGACTCGTCCTCCGGAATAAGACGACTATGACCAAGGAGAAAGTCACCCGGCGGGCTCGGCGGGAGAGAGAGCTTTCCCCACGTATTGCCTCTAAGATAGGCTTCGGAGAGGTGCTTGGCGGCGGAGTAGGCAACAAAGAGACCGATCGCAATTCCCGCTGCCGTGTCGACGGACTTCGCGATGGTCTGAAAGTCAATGGTACTCGCGCTGGACGTGCCCGCCGCGCTACTGTTGTTCCTCGCCATATTCGACGACGGGTCGGTGCCGAAGGCGCCAATGAAGAAATTCATCTTGCTCTACAGTGAACAATCAAGAGTGGATTGCTCCGATGCAAGTGGTTGCGATATTGAGTGAGGGTGTCGCGGTATGTTGCGCAAGATGTGGTTGGTGTATTCGGAAGTTGCGATGTCGTGCTTGGTTTCACGACTGGGGATGCGGATGACTGGAAGTTTGTGTGCAAGTCTGAGTTTGAATTGGGTGGAAGGGAAGAATTCTGATACCTTATACTAGTCCAGTTTCCATTGTCGCCTGGAGCATGAGCCATTCAGGTTCGATCTGCAACAGTGAAGTGTCGGGTGAACAGTGGTAAAGTTCAAGCAGATAGTGCTCTGTTCATCGTCCGATGTCACTGCTACACATGGCATGTGTTGGCAGACCGCCAAAGCTTGAGAGACAGGTTAACTATTCACAAATTAGCGTTCTATCACAAATACTGTTCATCTTGCAGCTGGGCTGTTGGTGTTGTTGATGTGATGGTGAGTGTTATGGTTGCTGTGGGGACATGTCTCAACCACAACTCATACATAGCAACCTTGGTCGCATATCGTCTTGGTCGTCGTCCAAACGGAAACATTCCACGGGAGCATCTTACATGCAGGGGCGCTCAGGAAGCATCCAGTCGGGATCAAAATTGAAGGACGAATCCTGCTCGAAGTGGGTAAGCTTCCAAGCTATTGGTCTTGGGGTGCGTCTATCTCCAGATCCCCATCTCCGGAAATCCTGCTGAGACGTGTGTCATTCCCAATCAAGGTTGAGATAGGCGAAGAGGGCAGCACGTTGACGGTGGTACCGTGAGGGGAAGTTGGATGTGTGAATGGAGGCTAGGACGTACCATCAAGTTCACTCGTCACTCAGTGGTAGCATGACAACACTCACCAAGGACTCAGTTCTTTCCGTCCAAACTTGATGCTCTTGAGACTGCTTTTCTGAAGAGGAATTGACTGGAAGTTAAAATTTCATTGAGAAAAAATTCGATTCGACTTGCCAAGTTTCTTCAAGCCGTACCTTCACTCCTTGCCGACTCGTACTTTCCGTCCCTTTCATGGGGCAACGCACCTTCCACCTCGATCTCCTTCACCCGCGGCATCCATCCATCCACCTTCCCAACGTGCCTTCCTCAATCAAAGAACCCCAGCGGGAACCCATCAGCCATAGCCTGATACCCCGCCACATTCGGATGCAAATGATCCCCGCCATCATACTGCTTCGCCAGTTGACTCTTGGTGTTCGGATCGCCAATAATTTTCCCAAAGTCCACCACCGCATCCAACGCCTTTCCCTCTCCCGCATTACTCAAAATCCACTCATTAACCCTCTGCCTCGTCTGCTCTCTCGTCGGATTACTATAACTCTGCCCATTCCCTCCAAACGGCGTGATCGTGCCTCCAATAACCTTGATCCCCGCCGCGTTGCACTCCTTCGCAATCTGCTTGTAGGCACCAATCAGCCTATTCCCGATCCCGTTTTGCGAGCCACTGTCGGTCCCGCCGCCGCCAATGTCGTTTACTCCCTCGAAGATCATGACGTATCTCACACCCTGTTGTTGTAAAGCGTCGCGCTTGTATCTGCTTAGCAGCGTGGGACCGAGCCCGCCGTTGAGAACAGCGTTGCCGCCTGCTGCTTGGTTGTTGACGCCGATGTGGTTGATTCCGGCCTTCTGCATGCGCGCTAACAACAGATCGGGCCACCGGTTGTTGGCGTCGTCGGTGCTGCCGCGGCCATCGGTGATGCTGTCGCCGAGGATGATGAAGGCGGAAGAGTTGGAGGAGGTGGACTTCCAGGCTTCGACGGCAGATATAAAATACCAGTGCTTGGTGTCCTTGCCGCCGGTTATGCTGGCGTCCGAGGCTTTGTTGCCGGAAACCATCCAGCTGGTAGTGCGGGAACCCGGGTGGCCGGTGATGCTGCTGCCGCTTTGGCCGGTTTTGAAGTAGAGCGATACGGCGATGTTGGTTTGCCCGGCTACGCTGAAGTCGATGGGATCTGTGTAGGCTACTTGGCCCCGGGCGATGGTGATGCCTTCTTTGCCGTTTTGGAACGTGATGGGCTTCAGGGTGGCGGTGTCAATACCGGAGACTCCGGCTTTGCCTGAGGTGGGGAGAGCGATGGTGGCGGCGGTTATGGGTAGGTCGGAGCCCCCGAAGGTATTGCTAATTTGTAGGCGGATGCGGTTGGCAGGGAGGGAGAGGTGGAGGGTCTGACGGAGAGTGGCATCTTTGAAGACCCCGCCGCTTGACTGCACGTGCATTGGTAGTCAGCATGAACTCATATCTGGTTGGTACGGCTTTAGAAAAGTATTGATCTCCTTACAAATGGCGATGGTGGCATGTTACTCGATTCGACCAGTTGCGGCATCGAAGTCCAAGAGGCTACCCAGTGGTAGTCATCTACAGCAGCTCCGACCGAGTCATGGAGTCCCAAAAGCTCGCCGTGCTCGGTGTCGGAAATTGGTGAAGGCAATCCATTGACCCAGTTGCTCAAAAGAAGCATGGCCGTACCGAGGCCGAGTGACCTGATGTGAACCATCGTGATACCAATTGGCTGCGTGTACTCGGTGGACACAGAGTGTTTCAGTTGATGAGTGAGGATGGTGCCAAGAGAGAGAGGTCGTGCAGTCGTTGAATGTATTTTGAGCCTCTTTTATACATGGTCGAAAGACGGACGATGTTGGCCCGAAGGGTAATCTGCATATCCAGCTATTCAAGTTTCACTTTAGCCAAAGTTGGCCACCACGGTACTCCCCTGCTTTCACACTGGAAAACCACCCTATTTACCCAAATATCCCGGATGGTAAGTACGCGGTCGATCACTCGGGAGAAAATCTGGGGAGATCGGGAACATCAACGGGGTTACATTTTCCAGAAAACCTCCGAAGTGTGTAACAATCACGAACCACCATGGAAGCACTGAAAAGGGAACGACAGTGATAAACGAAACTCGTACTTGTTATTTTTTCCAACACTTCACTAACACCTACTACAACTCCCGACGACCCGCATCACTGCTCGATGAAGTAATCGCATCATCCGCCACGTGGGCCATTGTCGGCTTCTCTGATCCGGGCGACTCAGGAATCGCATGACTTCGGCGCCCAGCAGCCTTCTCAAAGTCCGCACCGCCAATGCGCTTGCCATCCTTGTCGTACCATCTGGGCTCGACCTTGGCCTGATGCACCACGGTAAAGTATCCCTTCCAGCCATCCACTTTGCGGAAGATCATGTCCATCTCTTCCAAGGAACGGCACGCCGTCTCGGGATAGAAGAAGTAGACGACGGGAACGATGAAAGCGTTGATGACGGCGAAGATGATGTAAGTCTGGTACTTGATGTTGTTGAACGCAATAGGCGTGATCATGACAACCATAAAGTTGAAGATCCAGTTCGCCGACGTAGACAGCGCGTTGGCCGGCGCACGGATGCGGAGCGGAACGATCTCGGCCGGGTAGAGCCAGGACATGCCGAGCCAGCCGATGGCAAAGACTGTGTTGAAGACGAAGAGGAACACGATGCCGGCAATCTGGTAGGGCTTGTCGTCCGGTCGGGAGTTGACGCCTGCCAGGATGGCCATGGTTGCGGCTTGGCCGATGGCACCGAACAACATGAGCTTGCGGCGTCCGATGCGCTCGACGAGCCAGATGGCGGGCCAGGAGGCGATGAAGTACTCGGTACCGTTGAGGGCAGCGAGGAGACGGGCCATGAAGTCAGACATGCCGAGGCCGCTGTAGATGACGGCGGCATAGTAAGTGATGAGGTTGATACCGGAGATTTGCTGGAAGACCTGGTTGACGTATGCGAGCAGGGTGCGGTGGAAGTTGCGGTCCTTGTCCATGGTGAATAGGTCCTTGAAGCTCCCCTTGGACATCTCAACAACAGTCTCGTGGATGGACTGGAATTCGATTTCGACAATGGGATCTTGGAGGTCCACGTCGTTGAGAGCGGCCAGAACTTCCTTGGCTTCGGCATTGCGGCCCCTGAAGACCAGCCAGCGAGGCGATTCGGGCATGAAGGGAATGAAAATGAGGATGAAAATGCAAAAGACGATCTGAAAGGCCAAGGGGAAGCGCCAAGCAACGGAGCCAGGAGCGAAACTCAAGCCGAGATCAATCCAGTAACTCAACATGATGCCGGCAGTGACAAGAGATCCTTCGATCATAACCATCTTGCCTCGTTTGTGTGCTTTTGAAGTCTCGGATTGCCAAGTAGGGACCTGTAAGGGGTTAGAGAATGTCTTGAAAGTCGTAGCTGAAGGTCTGACTGACCGTAGATGTGTTTCCTCCATTACCAATGCCGGTGATGATACGGCCGATAATGAAATGTTCCAGGGTAGTAGCGCTGGCCTGCAAAGCGGCACCGACAATCATGATAGCAGTTCCAAGTAGAATGATCTTTTTACGGCCCAAAGGGTTGCCGATGAAGATGGTGATAATGGCGCCGATGAAACAGCCCAAGTTGTAGGATGCGACGGAGATGCCTTGGTACGTAGAGGCTGTCGAGGACTGGGCCGCCGTTAAACCAGGACGGTTTGGGTTAATATCAGGAAATTGGTCAAGGAATATAGGTAAAGTGAGGATGCCTCCCATAACACCCTGATCTGTTGTGATCCATCGGTGGTTAGAAGATGCTCTTTGCTCATTCTTGACTCTTCAACTTTTGGCCATGACATACCGTATCCGAAGAGGAGGAAATCACATCCTGCGATTGCGCCCACGGCCAGGTTCAAGGCCTGGCCTCTGAGCCCCAGGAATTGCTTCATGGCGACACTGTTCGATACACAGTTGTTTAATGTCGAAAGGTATGCGAGAACACAACAGAACCATCAGGAGCATATGCAGAAGGGTATCCCGAGATCATATATAGAAGCAGCACGTCGTTGATCACTTTCCCGACTTGAGCGGATCATCTCTGGTACTACCCAGAAGTAACCAAGAACCAGGCACACACCTCTCTCGGGAATGAGACGAGCGTGACAAGGTAACATGAACGGGCAAGGATAAACAGGGTCTTTGACCAACCTCTCTCATCTTTTCTTTACCAGTTCTCCACGACGGTGGTATTGTTGACACTGGGAAAGGAAGCAATTCGGACGTTCAAGTCAGGTCTTCGGCCCATTCCCCCTCGAAAGCCAGTAACGTCGTGTGGGTATTATCTACAGGAGTGAGGTTGTTGGAGCGTTCGAGAGTCAGCACTTGATCCCATGAACGACAAGAATTCGTCCACTGTGTGAAACGCGGGGCCCCTCACTTCCCCGGGCCTGAAGATCACCGAGTTGGATGTGGATCGAGACCCTCTTCCCCGACGTCTGAGGTACCGTTCGCCGGCTTGGCGGCTCACGGATTCGACGGACTCGTTCGGCGAAATCGTGGAGAACAGCTAGGTCCGGGGGACGGAGGAGTGTGGGACCATGACGACGGCACCTTTGGGACCGGTTCTCGTCCTGAGTGGTGCGCATGGTAATGCACCTCGGTGGTACATAGCCGTGCAGTGCCGTAACGGGTCTGACAGGTCTAACGAATTGACGGCTGGGCATAGGTGCCTTTCTTGGGAGTCCAACAGCCCTACCCCACAGCCATTGACCTCAGCTAAACCACTTGAGACCTCATCGCCGTACCCAGGTTTCCGTGCTGGGGTTTTCAGTCCGGCGTGACAGCGGATCCTGAATAATTGCCTGAATTGGAGGGATTGGAGGATCTTCCAAAGTTCCAAGCTTTCTGAACTCGTGAGCGCTCTCCCCGTGGGGATTATGGAGAAGCTGGTCGGGGTTAAGCCGCTGAGGAGTGGAGCCTTCGGTGAAGACAAGCTCACCTTAACCTGGCCATGTGGTTGGGTAGGGGACGTAGCCAAGGAAAGGTCAGCAAACGACTGATTTTCAGGATTGTTGCAAATGAAACGTGTGATGCCGCATGCCCGAGACTGTACCGAATCTAGCCGGCGGTGTTATCCAGAAAAACGGCGAAGATGTCTAAATGAACTTGGGGTCGTTGCCATCGTGATCGAAATCCCTAATAGTCGTTTATTCACTGTCAATGGTTATGAGAAGAAAGTGAATGGACTAAAACTGTCTCAGCGTTGGCGGAAAGAGCAACTTCAGATTTTTTGGCATCACCGTGAAATTGGGGTTTGTTGATCACATGTACCTGCCAAACAGTCTGAAGTTCACTGTATTGATGATCGCAGCATTCAGATGTGGGGCAAGTACTTCATTGGGACATTGTTAGCAGAAAGAGTGTTCTTGGTGCAATCAGTTAACAGTCTACTCCACGCTATACCGAATGCACTAACAATAACCCACTAGCCCTCTGTTGGTTCTCACTGCCGCCAATTCATCCGAATCGAACCTCTCCCAGTCCCAATTTATTCTCTCAACTTGGAATTCGCAACAACGTCTTCTTCCACCACTCCTCACACTCGACTAATGCCAACTTCATATTATCAGCGTGCCTGAACATGTGTCCTTTGCCTCTGAGAACGACCATCTTGACATCTCCATCGTTTCCTCCGACTGCCTGCTTGATATCCTCGCTCTGCCCAATGGGCACCACCGGGTCGGCATCTCCATGGATCAGTAGCAATGGAGAAGCGATGTGTTGGGCATAATACAAAGGACTGCGTTCCCGGAACAGACCAAGCTTTTCTTCCTCGGTTTTGTCTTCGAGTCCTAGGAGCGTCTGCAGGTAATGTAACTCCAGCTTATGCGTTTCCTCGTCCAGTGTCTTGAGGTCGCTGACACCACACATGCTGATTCCTCCGGCAAACACGTCCGGATATCGTGTCAAGTATTGCAACACACAGTAACCGCCCGAGCTCGCGCCTTCGATACCAACGCGAGAACCATCAACCCGCCCAGATTTCGCGAGATATCGGACCGTTTCGATCACATCGTCACGGTCGACTACACCAAATTCCCCTCTTGATGCTTCCCGGTACGTTTTCCCGTGGGCAGATGAGCCGGTATAGTTGGAGAAGCAGAACGCATACCCTCGGCTCGTGAAATACTGCACCATCATGCAGAGTCCTGGCGGATTGTATGCGGTTGGTCCGCCGTGGGGTTGGATGATCAATGGAGGAAGCGTTCCTTCTGGTCCCTCATATCTGGGGTTGGATGGGAGCCAAAGGAATCCGTGGACCTCCCTGTGCGGCTCTTCGATCGTTGTGAATCAAATATGCTCCGGCGATGAGAACAACTGTTCCGGCAACTGAGATTTAACAGATGACACGAAAAGATCGGACTTGACGGTCAGATTCGGCAAGATGTTGAAACGGTACACACCAGGTGGTGTGCGATAACCGCTGGCCACGGCGAGCACCGAGTTTTCTGAAAGCCGTGCCAGGCAGTACATACGAATGCTGGCGTTGGTCAAAGGAAGGTCCAACTTTGTCGCGATGCCGTTTTCCAAGTTCACGTGCACAAATTCCATCTCTCCAAATCGAACCGGGGCCGCAACGATCACCTTGTCTGTCAGAAACACGTAACTCTGGGCCCCCACAGCCCAATGCGCATCCCCGAACTCCGCGTCCTCCCATCCCGGTAGCAAAATTGGCTCGCTATCACCCTTGTGATATTTCCACAGCTGACGAAAGCCGGACTTGTCGCAACCAAAGTAGAGTTGCCCGCCTGGCCCCCATCTAGGCTCTGCAGCCGTGGATGTGTCATCGCCTCCAACGATCTTCGCCTCTGAAATGGTTGAGCTGGCCAGGTCAAGGCTCATCACGCTCAGCTTCGCTCCCAGAACGGCATGTTAGGATGGTCCCAATGGATATGGCAAATCTGTGTCATATCAGTAGGGTTGAACCGCGGATAAGCGACGAAGTCGTGCTGCCCGATGCCCCGAAGATGCCTGGCCTCGCCGGTCTCAATGTGGATAAGGGCCACATTGTTTTTGACGTCTTCCGGCTTGGGATAGGTGTGGTCCTCTTCGACGGCCAGAACCCATGGTGTACCTGGATGGCAGTCGAAATCGCCGTACCGGTGTGTTTCAGACTTGAACGAGACCTGCCGCTCCCATCTCTTCTCTTGGTCGTTTGAAACCAGCACGCCTACTGTCTTGGCGCGCGCATCGGAGTAGATGATCTTGAGTTGTTCGCCAGGCCACAATACGTATTGCAACCCTCCGTACTCATAGAGATATGTTGAAGCACTGTCGTTGAATTTAGCGAGGATATCAACAGTCTCAGTGAAGTTGTCCTTATCGAATCTGAGCTCATGAATCGTCTGTGATCCATCTGGGCGGGATTAAAGGGAGAGAACTCTTCCCGTTCGAGGCTGCGGAATTGCATGTCAGCGGCCGGATTTTGTGGTTTGCAGGAATCATATTATACTCACACAAACTCTGGGGGAAGTGATGTTGCAACTCCCAGCGGTCACAGCTTCAGCGGTAATTTCACTTTTCCACTCCCCATACGGGGGAACAATCTTTTGATTAGTTGACGCCGACATGCCGATGGATATCGCAATCATTCGACCCGGTCGCTCTGTCAAGCTGGCGAGTTTCTGGTGTTTGAATATCGTCGGCCTATTTCGTCTTCCACTAAAAAGACAAGAGTGAAGCTGACAGTCTAGTGTTTGCGATGGGGTGGCAGTCATCTTATAGTCACGCCTTCCCTAACTACGTCGTAAGCCGCAAGAGGAAGGTGAGCACTTTCTATATGCCGCCGCCCCCTCATCATCTTCTAGCTCAGATTTCGGTCGCACTGAGTCATTTCATCGAGATCAACTATTCCGTATCAATTTCATTCATCATTTCCCCGGCCTCAAAGACTTTTGCTTCTGACTGCTGACATTCCCTCATAAATCATCCAACATCATCTCATCTGGGGCAGTCCAGCCCTCATACCCACTCATCGCCTCGCAATCCAAGTAGTTGTTCTCGACAAACGGCGTGGCCACTTGCACCCCGTACACATCAATCCATTCCCATTTCCGTTGCCTTCCTCGGCCATTGGTGTCGTCCGAGTGCGAGCCTTCTGATGGATCGAAGTCCAACTCCGAATCCAAGTCCAACTCTCCGCCTTCAACAAACGGAAACACATTAACCGCTTTAACCCTCCCTCTCACCGACACCGGCGCAAATTTCCCCTTAGACATGGAAGTGTCGAAGAGCCGGATCATGTTATCGCAGCCACCACCAGAGCTGGCAAAGGTAGGTTGGTTGGTGATGTTTTTGAAAAAGTCCAAGGGGTATGGGTATGGACTGCCAGGGCTGATAGAGGAGAAAATGAGACGAGTCATCTCCAGCTCTATCGACCTTTCATCATCTTTTCTCCTCAAACCGGCATTGTCGTCCTCAACAACAGAGGAGTTAATACCGAAGGCAGATCCGGACGCAGATGCGGTCATCGCGGTCCCCTTGAAATACGTATTCCCATTCGCCAACGTCTGATACGCCTCACACTCAGGCTCGAACCTCGCCGGCGAAACCCGCGTCCCGTAAGCTCGCGAGCCGTCAATGGCAATGTCATTCCCAGCGCTGATTAGCTGTGCCGGAGCCCAGCGGTAGGAGGAGTAACCGTCGCCGGAGAGATCTAAAAAGGGGAATTCGAAACCAACTCTCTGATTAATCAATTATTATCAGCATCAGCCATCATCATCATCATCATCACCCATTCATCGACCATCGCTTCGATCATCCTGAGAGGCATCCTTGAGGAAAGGGAGAAGAAGAAAAAAGAACATACAGAAAAATCATCCAAAACAATCCCATACGCCTTCAGCTGGATATCATGATCGTGCGCCGCCTGCAACAAAACGGGGTACATCCCCTCCGGAAATCCACCGGGACCGAGTAGTGATCGATAGGTTGATTCAAGGATGGAGTACCCCGATGGAACCAGGCGGCGAGCGAGAGCGAGCGGGATGGGAATTATGGCCAGTGTCGCGTTAAGCACTCCTGTGGCGTTGTTGGGGAAGAGGGAGACTAGGGGGTTGGGTTGGTCGTGGGTTTTGCAGATGTTTTGGGGTGTGTCCTTTTCTGGTATTTGATGTTGTGGTTGTGGGATTGTTTGTTGCTGTTGTTGGTTTGTGATGATGGTTGTGGTTATTGAAGCTGATGATGTGCCTGTTTGGCTGAGAAAGGCCGCCCCTGTCGAGAGGACGAGAAGGAGGACTGCCATGATGTGAAGGAGTGGTTTTCGGAGTGTTGACATCAATGCTGCTTTGGATGAAGATTTCTCTTGCCGCTGACGACGAAGGGTCATGACCCTGGCAGGATGAAGAGGGGAGTTGAGGAGAGGGAAACGTGAGGGTGACATGCTTGGAGACATGCCAGTATCGACGAAAGAGATGGCAATACTGGGGATGGTATGAGTCTTTGATGGGGACATGCTAATCACACTCCAGGCGAGAGACTTTCTCGGTGGGTGGTTCGGGATGTAAGATGATGAGAAACAAGAGAAGATGGAAGATGGAAGATGGAAGAGAGGTAAGAGGAAAATTAGAAAGACATGAATGAGGTGGTTTACCAACATCAGAACTTTATTGACGCAATACTGTTAACCATCCAGATATTATCTCCGGCCCAACAACTTCAATTTGTTTTCCTCTTACCCATTTCGTGGGCGGTCGGGTTACGCGTGTCTTTACAACCGCAGACCGGAAAGGAAACTCAAAGTGAGCTCAGGATTTCCTAATTGGGAACAAGAAGGGATCCATTGCAACTCTGTAACATGTCTGACGTTGGGGCCCATGAGCGGACCTCCCAGTCAACCAAGGCTCAAAGCAAGGGTGGGTGGACAAGAAACGGCAGCGAAGTTAGCCGAACAAGAAAAGGCCCAACTAGGCGAAAACTAACCAAGTTGCTCATGTTTGTTTCGGATCTGATTACTTGCGAGACAGGTTGTGGTGACGACCGGAAGAACCCCGGGACCGGAGTCCCAAACGCTCGGGTTGTCGCATGCCGGTTGTGTTAATGGAAATGGTGGAGGTGTTGTACAGGGTAGGTAAGTTATTTTTGGGATCCTTGCTAACCTTGCTCTACTTGCCAACTTGTGGGGTTTCTGAGTTCAGGAACCCTCAAACTAGTTCGTTATCTGTTTGATTGAACCGGCAACGCATACCATACCCAACTGTCACAATGTTACCTGCAGATTTACGTTCGTTGAAGTTATCTCCTGGCAATCATACACTTTTTTCTCAGCTCAGTCGGATTCATCGAGAGAGGCGCGGAAGCCAACTCTGCCGACCCGACCACAGCGATAGTTCATACACACCTTTTCAACGCCACGTTGAATATTTCCTTACCTAGAGGTATGTCTGTAAATCTGACTACGGGTATATAATGGCCGTTGGACGTTGTGGACTCGTGGTCTAGAACAGCGCCCATGATTGCTTATTTTCCGAACATGCCGATCTCAGTCCGTTTCTGTCTTTCGGGAGCAGGTATAGCCGGGGCGGGTGGTCAACGAAGCGGCCGTGGTGGCGGCGGCAGCGGTCCGCAGGTCAAATCCGGACCTTGTCCTTCCTGGTGCTAAACTCGACCATAGTGAGGGATGTCGGTGTAAAATGATTCTGGCCAATTCGTTCGCAGGTGGTAGGTTTGGTTCTTAGCTGAGTAGGTATGGCGGCTGGTGATTAATGTCGTCCTTTCGTAACTGATATCAATATGCGGCTCTTCCTATGTGCATGCAAACCTAAGGTTTCCGGTTGGGATAACTGCCCATGAATGATTCTCGGTCCGTTAGCGGTCGATCCTCCTTTCTCTCGTTCCAGGGGGCGTGTTGGAGGTGTTTCAAAGCTTCCGTCTCAGGAGCTGAGTTACCGAGACACCATTGCCCCGTGCTTGCCGCCAGAAGATCAAGTTAAGGAGATGCCTCTTCTTTCTTCATCTTATGAGGTGAACTGTTGAAAATCAATCGCCTAGGTCAAGTTCGTCAAGTTCTCGCTAATGATACATTTTATGGGGGTATATACCTTTATCTCATCATACATGTCACACACACCACCGCTACTATTGTACATACCTCGCAGGGACTCCACTTCCCTTCAACTTCCCCAGGTCCCTGTTCATAGCGCTCCACCAACAAGCTGCACGATCATCATCGCAATCCTCACCTTAAGCCCAACCCTCCTCTCCGTCTTTGCAAAATCCTCCCGCGTCGCCACCGTCGTATTATCCTGCAACCATCTCTGCTCCTCGCCCAGCCTCTTCTTCAGGTCCTCGTTCTCCGTCACAATGAGTGCATTAGCTTCCAAATCGAGCGAATAACTCCTCTTGGTGTAGTTGGAGCTACCAATCAAGGAAATGCTAGGGTTCTCGTTCTTGGGCATGGTGACCCAAAGGCCCTTGGCATGGTAGGTCCACCCACCGGGCTCACCAACCGTGCCCTTCCTCCACTCCTTCAGCACCGTGGTGCCCCGGTGCTTGGACTCGTGCACGGCGCGGACGAAGCGGCGCGCCAGGAGGGTGTAGGCGTCAGGAAGCAGACCGGAAACGCCGGGGGACTGGTAGAAGCCGTTGGCGAAGGGTGAGGCGGTGATGACCACGTTGTTCGTCGAAGCGGTGCCCAGGAGGAGCTGGGTCAGCGAGGGCGCAGGGTTGAAGTAGCCGGCTGTGAACGTCCAGGACGAGTTGGCGTATTCTGGAGCCGCTAGAGTCCGTAGGACATGGCTGACGGCGGGAAGCTCGGTCGAGGTGTCGGGCGACAGAAGCTGGGAGAATTGCGCAAGCATGTAGACCTTGGTGTCGCGCTTCTCGGCTGGTGTGTCGTCGAGTGCGGTCCGTGGTGCTGTCTTTGGCGAGATGAGGCCGGATACGAGTGCAGTCGATTCGGTGACGAACTTCTTTGGGTTTTCGAGGGGGGAGATGGCTGAGTTATCCTCTGGCCATACTAGTTCGAAGCCGGACGGGTCGGAAGAGGGCTTGACGAGGAAGCTCAGCGATGAAACGGCCGTCTGAAGGTTGGAGAAGTACTCGGTGATGTCCCTGCTCGAGTAGACATGGTAACGATCCTGCCTGTCTGAAAAGTAGTCGCTGGAGAGGTTTGCGCCAGAGAGAATAATCTCATCATCGATGCCGTACAACTTCATATGCTGTAGTCCCCATCCTTCATTTATCCTCTTGGGGATGTGCTTCTTTCTGAGTCCGGTGAGGTTTGGTGTATGGTACATTCGGATTTCGACACGATCAGGGCCGAACTCGGAAATCAAGGGCGCCAAAAGGGAGGCGCATGATGGGTTGGGCGCTTCACGAGTACCGCGCAAGGCGTCAGTGAGGATGCTGAGCTTTAAATCGGGTTTCGCGCGGAGGGCTTCTTGGAGAGTCGCAATCTGAGGAAATGCGCAGTTATATTAGCACATAGCAACTCTAATGCGCTGGATCGAAGGGATCTAGTACCAATTCCTTCTCCGACTTGCCAATGTATAGGGTCGAGAGGAAGATGCGCTTCTCTGCCTTGCGAATCTTTTCCTGATGAGTGGGAAGGCTATCAGTCAGCACCGCTAGCTGACAAGACAAGCCTTTTTTTGTCGAACCTTGAGGGTCTCGTAGAACTCGGTCGGTGTTTGTAAAACGCGAACTTGGGAGCCGTTGATCCTGAAGGACGGGGCGATCTTGTCGAGCTCGTTCGTGAAGGGCGCAAGCAGGCCGGCGCTGGAGGTGTTCGGACCGGTGCTATGTGACGCCCCGGAAGACGGCGAGGAGAACTGTCGGCATTGTGGCCTGGCTACTCGTAAACTGAGCCGCGAAGGCGGTGCTCTAAGCTTGGTGCAGCATCGTGAAGTACTCCTTGCCAGCATATCCGCAATAAGCTGGGGGGTTTCTGTAAAAGACGGGGATCGGGATGTTCTTGTCGAAGTTGTCTTGTCCGTTTAGATCGGCCAAATTTTTGGATGCGGGCATTCCATCGGTTGTCGCGCCGATGACCTAGCGACCCGGTACAGTACAGCCGGCGCCTGGACCCCGGGCCAATCCACTGAAGACGCGGGATGACCGCCCGCTGACGGGAAGGAGTTGTGGGGAGTTTACAAGGCTGTTCGTGGCCCGCCTTGGCATTTTCGTCTGAAGGATGTCATGGGCCAGAGCTCCCACTCAGCTCTTCCTTGCCAGCTGCAATTGGCCACCTCGATCCACTGCGTCAGCCGCCAGTTGCGACTCCAACTTTCAACTCCACGACCGACCCGACAGACGCCATCGCCGACGACAGCAACCCCGGAGGAGCTCCCTCTCTGATTCTACACTCCACGGCGCACAATCGCAATTGACTCCACTCTCCGCGAGTCAAGAATAACAACCATGTCTACCATCACCAGAACGATCCGCAACCTGCGCAAGGTTGGCTTGAAGGTATCGTTTTCATCCATCCATAACGAATTATGCGCCGTCGCTAACGAGAGGCCGTCGTGATTACAGGATGCCTGGCACCAAATGAACGTACGTCTACACCCATCATTGTCATCTCCCGTCGAATGAGTCCATACAGCCAGACCCAACCACGACATTCCGGCGAACAACAAACGAGTCCTACATATATAGCAGCCAAAGCTACAGCTACTAACACCCACGTTGCTGCTCTCTCCACAAACAGCATATCGGTATGGAGCCACGCATCCCCTGACCAACCCTCAATTCCAGGGCTACCCACCTCAACACCATCATCACCAGACCAACCAGCAACTAACATGGTGACTACAAAACAGGCGACACCAAAGCCGGCACCCTCGTAGGCGTCGACAAGTTCGGCAACAAGTTCTTCGAGAACCAGGAGGAACTCCCCCTCCGCACGCGCTGGGTCGACTACGCCAAGCACGACTACGACCCCTCGCAGATCGAGCCTCTGTGGCACGCCTGGATCTCGTACGTCATCGACACGGTGCCGTCGCAGGATCCCATCGCTACGCAGGCGCCCAAGAGGCCCTGGGCCCCCGAGGTGCACAACCCCAACTATACGGCGCAGATGGGGGCTTTCAAGACTTATAATACGTACGTTCCACGATCTTCTAAGTATGGCTGCGGGTGCGTGGGTGTGTGTGTGTGCTGATAACTAGTTCATAGTGTCAAGCCCAAGATCCAGTCGTGGGAGCCTGTTGCTGCTCCTAGACACTAAATACACTTTTTGGTGGCGACGGTGAGACGAGAAGGTCTCTTGAGTGAGAAGTGGAGGTGTACATAAGTATGGAC